TACCATTACCATTATCATCAAGAATTATGGCATACAAATCAAAAATTATTGATTTAATTACTTAAAATAATAATAAAGTACGAGTATATTTAATTTTTATGATTTTTGTGTCGAGTTCATAATCATCCTTTCAATTATAATTGCTTTCAATTAGAAATGGAGCAAATAATTAACTTTGAGCTTAGCTTCAACACTAATTGGTTGATGAGCTCTTTCTATTAGTTAAAAATCTATTTCACTTTCACCGTCCAGTCAACGGTTGAGTCTGAATCTTTACTTAAGCTAATATGACCCTCTCTTAAAAGGGTATAAGCATGCCATGGATGCTTAAATTGTTCAAGACAATTTTTAAAGTGTAGCAATTAGAGCACACGCTAACGATCTAACTCTCACTCTCTCTCTGTCTCACTCTCTCACTCTATTTTCCCTCTCTCTCGTTCCCGTAGATGGATGATCGCTGGTGCGCCCACCCAGCCAGCGTTGCAAGAGGCACGTTTCAATGGAAACGCTCGACATTCAACGTTCAACATTCAACATTCAACATTCGACATTCGCTTCCGTTGTGACAGCGGGCACGGAAACAGCCTCCACGCAACGTTGTCATCAACTCATCCCAAAATTTAATCCATCTCTCTCTCTCTCTCTCCGTCTCTCTCTCTCTCTCTCGCTCTATCGCTCTATATGGGTCTCACTTAGCTGGCTCATCGTTTTGGCTCATTGGCATTTCAAGCGTCTCGTGTTTCCGCCGTGGACTTCATCGTCTTTGTCTTCGTCTTCGTCAATGTTGCTACTAAGTAAGTAATCCCAATCCCTGGAAAAATGCGCATAAATTCGTTTGAGGCGCTGGACCGATCACACTCGACACACACACACTCGACACATACACACACACACACACACACAGTGTGTGCATTCTGTTCGACTCATAGTCATTCATTCAATGGTTCATTGCTGTGGTAATTGCTTCCAAATGCTTAAATGCTTTCATTGTTGCTGTTATTGTTGTTCTTGCTGCTGCTCTTGCCTCAGTTTCAATCTGTGGCAGTTGCCATGCCTGCCACTCAGTTTCAGTTTCTTTCAAGTTGTTGTTGCATGTCCAACATGTGTCGTCGTCATTGATTTGTCGTTGATGGGCGGCTCTTGTTGTTGCCAACGGAATGGCAATGGGAACGGCAACGGGAACGGGAATAGGGATGGTGAATGGAGAATGGAGAATGGGGCATTGTGGGGATTTGGAATGATGCCGTGGATAGGTGAGCGGTGGTGCGGCAAGAAACTATTGACATTTGTCTGTCACAACGCCGCATCCGCACTCAAAGCACTTCTTATCGAGAGGGAATCTCTCTCTCCCTCTCTCTCTCTCTCTCTCTATTTCTATTTTTCAGCTCTCCCCCTCTTTGTGGACCCTTGTGTTTTAGGGGGCGTTGCTCGTAAATTTTGTTGCGCCGTCAAACAATTTGGGCATGAAAACAATTTGCACATGGTAACCTGAACAAGCCCAGCAGAGAATTGTGGATATTCTCACTATGTATGCACTCAGAAAAATATAATACACTGAAATATAGAAAATTGCGCTAAAATTAAAATCATTCCGATTGATCTAGAAATCTTTCTAAATATAATAATAGGATAATTTAAGAACTCTGTGTACACTTAAGAAAACGCCCTTGACCTTAGAAAATATATTATTATTTTTCAGAGTGTATGCATATGTATGTATGTATGCGCTTGTATGTCTGTCTGAGGCATGTACATATGTACTAAGGCACAAACTGGGCAACTTGCATTCTGGGCCACTCGAAGCGTTTTAATTATGAGGCGGCAACTGTTTGCCGTTGTTATTGTTATTGTTATTGTTATTGCTATTAATGTTATTGTTGTTGTTGTTTATCTTGCTGATATTGTTGTTATTCTTGTTGTTGTTGTTGTTATTGTTAGCTTGAGCTTTCTTTGGTTCTTTGTTCTTCACCGTTCCCTGTTCATTCTCCATTCGCATCTCTCTTTTCGTTGTTAACGATCATCTCATGTTCACAGGCCCAGCTGTGCCAATTTTTGCATGCGCATTTTATTCAAATTTCTCAACTCATTCACAATCAGTTAATTTATGAATAGCATTAACCAGAACAGCAGCAACAACAATAACAACAACAACAACAACAACAACAGCTAAAGGGCCACAAGTTGCATTCCTCAATAGTTCCGCCAACCGATTCGAGGGCGTCTCCATTCAATGGTGTGAATCAGTGAATCAGTTGCAAGTCATTCACTGTGATCGTTTGGTTCAACTGTGAATTGTCACTGTGCTCAGTACGGATCAAAGTGTGAATGTCAAGGCAAGTCACAGAGTCTTTGTAAGCAAAGCATATGAATATTCACAACCATCTTTTGAGTGATCACAGTATATCCCAATGACAATGATCTCTTCGAAGCTTAGACAAAATGATCAGAATAAATACCGGAATCACAAGAAATCTTAGTGTATTTAGTCAGTGTGGAATGTGTCACATTACATGTGGTCTCAATCAATCCTGATCACAGTAATTCGGCGTGAATCACTAGATGAGTAACCATTTTGCAATCCAATGCATAAATATTTCGCTCATGAGATCCGCTAACTTAAGGGAATAAGTGGGAAAGCATCCAAGTATTCAAATAACTAATACAATTTTCAAACAAGAATTGAAGCCGATTGCTGTAAACTGAACTGATGGATAAATAAAGTTGTGGTTATGGGCCATGAGCCAACAAAAAGTGACTGCAACTAAATAAACTGTTTATTTGCCTCCTGGTTGTGGTTAACACTTAGGCAAAGCAGCTCAAGACTTCTGGAGTGACGCAAATGGAATATCATCTTGTGGCAACTGTTCTCAGCTCACAGCTGGCAGCTCTGTGGGCTGCTGCCCCAGTTGCATGCATTTCTGTGTTTTTGTGACAAAAGACCCCATTCCCATATAACACTTTCACAACGTGCCATCGGCCATCGATGGTCTCACTTCCCCCTCCCCACTCCTTTCCCCAATCCCAATCACTACCACCTTTGGCCCGGGCACCTACTGACTGCTGCTGTCACTTTGTTAGCTTCCGGCTGCGTGCCTCACACTGCTGTTGCTGCTGCTGCTGCTGCATCTGCTGCCCACCAATCAAGAGCGAGTGCGTGGGTGTGTGAAACAGGGGAAAATTAACGTGTGGGGGGAGGGGGGAGGGCTAATTTATGCTTGTATAAATTAATCGAGTCCTCGAGGTTTTTAATAAAAAAAAACTAGTTTGTTCCGTTTGAATGTTTTATTAAGACTGAATTTATAAACTGTAACTTATCATAACTAAACCTCGGATGCCTTGATTGCTGCAACTTTGGTCTTCCCGTGGGATCTGCTGACGGGGCGCTTGTCCTTGCGCCTTAGCTGTGATCGTGGGCTCATCATATTTCTGTCTGAGTCCCGCGTTGCTGAAAATATGCTGACGGGGCGCGCGTGTTTTATGGAATTTAAGTCTGCCCGCCTCTGTTGATATATTTATAATGAGACGCTGTTATTGGGGGTCTGTTATCCTTAACAGTCGCTGCGACTGCTAAACGAGCAGCTGCTGCCGCTGCTGTCACTGCTGTCACTGCTGCTGCTGCTGCCGCTGCTGCTGCTGTTGTCTATCGGCGACCAACAGCAGAGCACGAGGAGCAGTACGAGAGCACGAGAGCACGAGGGCACGAAGACAACGACCTGATTTCATAAAGGAGTCGCTAACGCTGTCGTTCGGTGAATCGCTTCGTCGTTGGAGCGTTCGTGTCGGTGTTTTTAGTACACACACTCTCGAGAGCAAAATTGCGACGGACTTGTTGTTTTTTCCTTCTTCTTTTTGTGTTGTTTTAGTAACATCAGCAGCAATAGCAGCAGCAGAAGCAGCAAAAGCAGCAGCAGCACACGCGACTCCAGCTCGTTGGGAACAGTTGTTGTTAAGTATGCGACTGCAATGGGCTGTTGTGCTCTGTTAGCGCTGTTAACGCTGGCGTCGCTGTCGCAGCACAATGGCGCTGCTGCTGCTGTGACGCTGATTCGACGTAGCTCTTGGACACAGCGAGGCGCGCGTGAAACAAGTTTTAGTACGTGTTCCGCCGTGTTAGCAAACAGTCGTCGCCCCAAACATTCAAGCGGACACTGTGTGTGTGTGTGTGTGTGGTGTGTGTGTGCTGTGTTGATGACTCTGACTAGCTGCGCTGACTGTGACTCTGACTAGCGATAGTAGTGTTAGCGATACCGACTGTTAACATCGTGAAGACGCTGCCCGCAAAAAAACAAATAAAGCCGGACCCCAACAACCAAACAAGCAGCAGAAGCAGCGCCTCCAAATAAAACGGCAACAGACCGTCCGCATACGACCCCCTCCCCCCCACCCCCCAGCACGCCCTCTACCCGAGAGCGTGACAAAATCGAAATAATTCTACAAATCGCCAGAAATATATATAACAATATATTTCATTAATAAATATATATATATATAAATATAAACGGATATATTTGCTGCTGGCTCTAATGGAATTTTTGATCGCATCTTTTTTGCTTGTGTTTTTGTGATTATTATTTTTTTTTTGGCAAGTGTTTGTTTTGTTGTCGTAGGCTCAACTAACTGAAATATCTGTTAAAATCGTTGATCATTTGCATTTGATTCAAGTGAAATTCAAAAAGATTTTAAAGCCAATTTGCAAAAAAAAAAAAAAAAAAAAAAACGTAAAAAAAAAAACAACAAATTATTCGGTGGAAGTAATCAATGGAAACTTATCATTAAATTTTTTTGTTCTTGTGTGTGATCAAGTGTATGTGTGTGCGTGTGTGTGTGCTGCTTCCTGTGCAACCGGTCGCAGGCTCCGGCGACAAATAACAAGCTGCCACGCTGCCGAGAGAGGCGAACAGCAGCGCTGCACCTGCACCACAAGTTCAACGCGCAAAAAAAATAAAAATAAATAAGCGAAAAAGAATTAAAGTAAAACAGAGGAGCAAAGCAGCAGCAACAACAACAACAAGAAAATCTTACTAAAAAAATACAAAAAAGGAGAGCAGAGAAAAACCCGTTTTTCGGGAAGCTGCTAAACTCGAACAGGCAACAAGAGCCAGCGACAAAACAAGCCGAGACTGAGCCGCAGGCAGCAAGGCCGCCCCAACAACAACAACAGCTACAACAACAAAAACAGATTTTTGTTGGTCGCATTTTTCCTGCAACTTTTCCTCTGGACACTTTCTTTATGGTAAGTTATTTATATACCTAAGACAACGCAGCTCGCGGGACTCGCGGGTAGCCAGGCTCACAGCTCAGGCTTTCAGTTAAGAGACTTTTGAAGCGCTGAAAAGTATGCTGCAATTTTTGGTCACTCTCCCACAGCTGCCATTTGCATGTGTGCTTGCTCGCAATGCATTTACTACTCTGCTCATTGTCAATCAATTCCCGCTGTCAACTTCAATCAGAGCGTAACACAGTTGATGGGGCAAATTGCAATTTCCAAATTATTTTCAATAATATCACACACATCCCCCCCCACCATTTCCATCGGTCCCCTTCCGCCACCACAACAAGCCTAGCACGCTTAAAATTTCAAATGCTATTTTAATATTTTCACATCGAATTTAAATGACATTATAATCAAGAGGCATCAAGGGGAATTCGCTTGCAGCCTCAGCAACAGGAGCATGAACTACCAAAGGAAATTATCCAATTAGCTGATCCGATGTCTAATGGAAATATTTGAACATCTGTGTGTATATGTGTGTGTGTGGGTTGCACACACACACGCATTTTAATTTATTTATTATAGATGTACTATTCAATTTCAGCTTGTAATTCGGACTGGATTTCGTTCTAATTTGTATAAATGTCAGAAACGATTTTTATATCAATCCAAATGCAATGCAAATATTCGTATTGGTTTCCATTGCATGCAACTACAAATTGTGGAAAATTATGCCACAGGGAGAAGGAAGTATATATATGTTCTAGATCAGCCGCAACTGTCGAGTCGACTTTGCCATTAATTAAGAAATGCACCAACTAAAAACAAACAATTTCAATCTACAATTTGAGTGGATGCTAGGTTTATACATTTGTTATTCTGAATCGAATAGTTGTTATAATAAAACTATAGTTTGACTAAGCTTAATTGATAAACCTATTCGATTTCCTAAGCGATTTTTCGACTTTAAGCTTACTTCACTTGGAAGAAAATCGTTGCGATTAAATACATTTTTTTGTGCCACATTTCACTGGAAGCACTTAAATAGAATGCTTCAATTTAAGCCCCCAATCAAATTGGCCAACTTTTGTATGCTGTATTTTTATTTTGTTTATTTATTTTTGTTTTTTTTTTTTTGCCAATTGTCAATGACAAAGTTGTTTGGTGTTTTGTTGCTTTTGTTGTTGTTGGCACACTAAAAACGCTGCCAATCAAATTTGCGTGACTTATATGTCTGCCGGCTGCATGCCTGCTGACTGCCTGCTCTTACCAGTAGCACCTGGCCCCTGTCATTCCCCCACCTCCAGCTCCACCCCCTCCCCAACTCCCTCCTCGCACTCCCCTTGCTGGTGGGCTTTCAACTATTCGCGCACAAAATGTGGCTTAGACCACAACAAAGCAGCGCTGGCGGATAAAGCCAGCAGCTCTGCAGCGGAATGAAGTGCGGGGGTTGTGGGGAGGGGGGACGGGGGAGGGTTGGGTACAGCCAAGGCAACAGCAACAAACGAGTACAAAATATTTTCAACGGGGACTAAAAGGCGCTGAAAATGCTTTTCAAGTGCGTCCTCAGCTCGCACACACTTGATAGACAGATACACACACACTCACACACACACTCACAAACACCACTCTGAATATGTTTAGGCACTTAAATATATCTGTATATATATATATATATATATGTATATGTATATGCATATACTATCAGCATTGCAAGTTCTTTAAGCTCAAAAGCGTCCAATTGCCTTCGGGCATGACTTAAAAAATAAAAAAAATCTGTTAAAAGAGTAAAGTTAAAAAACAATGACTTCAGCTGTGACCCGACTGTGAAATACTCTGTAAACAATTGTAAAAGAGTATTTCCGTTAGCAAGACTGCAAGCAGTCGAAGGTGAATCCACTATACGAAACCAATCTGTGACTGTTATATGAGCATATTGATTTTTTAGATAATTTTTGAATACTGCAAAACTAATACTCTAATAACCCTGTGACTCTACAACTGTGCCCACAACTGTAGAAATCTATTTGTTTTTCTTAAAGCAGTTCGTTCATCAGCAATTTAGCAACACAAATTGTGTCTAAGACTGGGACACATATTGATAAGAACGCTCCATGGCCATATAGACGAAGATTGAGCAGATGGAGCAGTGTTGTAAATATAGTTGTATCCAAAATGATTAGCTCAAGCAGCAGCGCAAGAGCAATCCACCCAGTTGCCCCCATTTATGCGCGAACTGGGTGTAAAAAAGTGAAACTTTTCGAGTGCTTAAAAATTTGGAGCATTTGCGCTTCATAAGCGCAACTCTGGCCTGGCTACGTGAGATGCGGATTGGGACTGGGACTGGGAATGAGAGTGCGAATGGGAATGGGAATAATGGCGGAACGTGGTGGCAAGCGGAACGCGCCCAAACTTTTCTAATCAAATTAACAGAGAATTTGAATCTGTTGCGTCTGTCAGTCTGTCTGGCTGTCTGACTGTCTGGCTGTCTGCTTGTCTGTTTGTCTGCCAGTTGTTGTTGCTGCTGGTAACTAGGCAACAACAATAAGTGAAAATTATCAAAGTCAATTATGTAGCCACATAAACCAAGTGCCCAAAAGAAGCTAGCACACCCACACACCCACACACACACCCACACACACACCCACACACACAGACACACAGAGAAACACACGCAGACAGAGGCACGCAGACTAACAAAGCATAAATAATGCTCATCATTTGTTGCTGTATTTTGGCCAAGCTAAAACTTTTGCCATAGCCCCAGCGATTTAAAGTGCGCCACACACACACACACACACACACACACATGTATAGCTGACCTTGGAGTGGTTGCGATCTGTCGGGTTTTGGGCGTTGAGCGTTGAGCGTTGAACATTGCCATTTGCCACTGGCATCATATTTATTTATATAATATAAACGCAAAAAGTTCCTGCATAAAACTGAATTACCGGAAATTGGCCAAAGACAGCAGCAACAGCAGCAACAGCAGCAGAAGCAGCAGCAGCAAATTATACAACAACAACGCCAAAACGAAATGCGAACAACGAAAAGTAGGTGGCCAAAAAGTTTTTACCTACTTTTCGTTCGTCTGCTGCTCCCCTCTCTCTCTCTCTCTCTCCCTCTCTATCTATATCTATCCCTCTCTTTCCCGCACACTGTTTCCTTTTTTTATTTTTATATTTGCTGTATTATTTTTTGTTTCTGATTCGGTTTTCGGGCGCACACAGAAAAAAAAAAGAAAAACAAAAACTAAAGGCGCATCGTGTGAGGCAAATAAAAGGCAAGAAACTAGCGCAAAAAACTTTTGTTCAAGCGGCCAGCCAAGCAGACACCAACCGAGCGAATTAGACAGAAAGGACAAGCACCGACAGCGAGTGCGAAAGAGATGAGTGTTCGCACGGGAGGAGTGAGCAGTGGGGAAGGAGAAACGGAGAATGGAGCATGGGAAATGGATAGGCACAACAATGCACTGTTAACAAACGGCGCGAGGCTGAGCAAAAGGTGCAGAAGAAGAGAGAGAGACAGATGAGAGAGACAGATGAGAGAGAGAGAGAGGTTCTGGCGGTGCAAATGAGTGCGAGCGAGCGCAGAATAAAGCGAGTTGAAAATAAGAGAGATGACAACAAAAAAATAAAAAAGAAAGCCAAAAATGAAAAAAAAAGCTAAGCAGCTGGCAGCTCCACTTGATCCCTGACTGCCTCCATTTCCACTCCACCCTTCTCTTATCTCCTTTCCACTCTTAAAAGGTAGCAATGACACACTGTGGAAGGGGCAAGGCGGCAGGGGCAGCATGTTTCTATCTTGCACAGAATTTCAATTGCTTAAATTTGGTCAACAGGTCAATTACGAAATTTGACTGGCAAATTGAAGATGAAGATAAAAATGCATAACTTATTAGTTAACTAGTACATATATATATCTATAAATATATCTATATATATATAGATATAGACTATATATATATATATACATACATACAACAGTGACTGACTATATAACCTGAGGAAAAGCTATGTTAACGCAATTTATACAAATATCCCAAAACAAGAGCGCTCCAGTCGAGAATGCTCGACTATGAGAGCATTTGCACCGTTTCATGATATCCTTTTCAGTAGCAGAAACAGAGTGGTCAACAACAGCAACAGCTGCTGAGTCCTCTGCACTTTTGTTTCTATGCAAGAACATTTTCATTTTTTTCACACATTTTAAGAGTGGCAGAAACAAAAACCAATTTCTTTTCAGCATTTAGCAGTTTGCATTAAATTAACCGAAGTGCTATCAGCCAAATACGAAATGTAGTTTAATACAATACTATTTCTTTTATATCTAGTTTATAATATGATATCAAATGCCAGGACAAGTTTAGCAAGCTTCTCCACCTGAGAGTTTTGTTCATATTTTTAAAACTATTCCATCTAGTTGTGTTGTGTTGACTTATCCAATGAGAGAAGTTAAATTTTTTAATTTATCTTAGCGTCTTTTAATTAATGTTTTCCAAGGATTTTATTCAATCGGCATATGTATAGCTAAGCCTCCAAGTTTTCAGAAATTAGATAGTTGGTGGATAAAAACTATTTAATTAAATTAACTGTTTTGTTGCGGGCCAACAAAGCATCAAAATTTCTAGTTTGGCGGCAAACTCAAATTTAAATCTTGAACCTGAGTGGCAAAAAGTTGAGCAATGCCAAAGTCGCAAAATCTTCAACGACATATGTATAATATACTACAACTTGCAGCTGAGCAGATGGCCACTTGCCCCATGCAGCTGCAACCAACCGAGTACAGAGTTTTCTTTTTATTCCTCGGTTTTTTGTTTGTTCTTTTTTTTTTGCTTTTTTTGGCCAAGTTGCAGTTGAAGTAGACAATGTCCAATGTGCCTGGGTCCAGGCTGACCAAAACTTTTGCCCAATGCTCCACTGACTCACTCTATATATGTACGTGTAGCTGCCTGGTTTGTGGTTCAGAGGGGATTGGTGGATCACGGGGGGGCTTAGGGGGGGTTAACTGCAAGTTTTGCT